TCAAATTATTTTTACTACCGGTTCTGTGGGTGTGGCTTGGTAGGTGTGGCTTGACCTGGTGGCGTTGCTTGGTGGGTGTGGCAGGGGAAGGTTACTGCAAAATCCCCATTCCCTCACCACCCCACTAACCTCCTTTCCAGCTCCGTTCTCCTGGGCAGGGCAACCAAAGAAGACCCAGCCGATCAACTGGGACTCAATGGGAAACAGAGAATAGATGGGGTTGGTGGGGCCAGTCAGAGGTGGGATTTGCTGGTTCTCCAAACTACTCAAAATTTCCGTACTGGTTCTCCAGAACTGGTCAGAATCTGCTGAATATCACCTTTGCTTTGAGCCTCTGGTATGACCAGATTTGAGGCTGGAGAAAATGACCATGTTGGATATTAATTACATATAAATTTGAGGCAACCTACCTGGTGTGTGTGTGTATCTCTCTCTCTATATATATATATATCTATCTATATCTATCTATCTATCTATCTATCTATCTATCTATCTATCTATCTATCTATTTACTTATTTCACAGAACATCTCTTGTAAAAATGCACAGCTCTTATTTTGAATATTTTTCAGAAAAAAATGTGCACTTACAATCACACAGTACATCTTAATTCTATTGTTCTTCTCTCTTTTTTTAACAAAAAAGAAATGTAATTTCTAGCTATTGGCTCTTTGGGGTACCTTAACTAAAGTATATTTGCAATACCACTTCAACAAGTTACAATTTGAACAATGCATCGGTTGTAATAATGCAGAACCAGCCCAGCTTTCATATCACTGTATCTTACCAAACTAATGAGATTGATCATTTCATAACTTCGGTTTCATTTTTTTTTATTATTATTATTTTATATAAAAAAGAGACCCTGGAAAGTCCTTATCCATTTTATGAAAGGGGGGGTAGGGGGAAATACCAAACCTTTGCGAAATTCATTAAAGAAGCATAAAAAATTCATTAAACAAGCGAATTGCATTCACAGCAGCTGTGATGCAAATGCCCTTTCAGCAGTGCAGAGCTCCATATTGGTTTAACCTTTCGCATTCTTTTATATCCATGTTGTGGGGAAAAGGGGTGTGTGTGTGTGCGTGTGTGTGTTTTCAAGGAATGAAAATTAAGTGCTGATCCTCTGATCTCCAGCTAGAGTCAGGTAGACTGACCCATAGAAACGAACTTCTGTAACTCAGCTTTCTACTAGTCCATTGCCAATAAAACAGCAGGTGGGATGCTCAACCTCTTTTCAGATTGTTCCACTTTATATTGCGGGCCAGGACTTCATACAACTGTAGGTACTTCCATGTAACAACTTTCCAAAAAAATATAGAAAATGAGATTGTCAAGAGGAAAGAATCTTGATGAGATATGGGGCCTTTTTACTTGGTATTGGAAATGTGAAGCCAGAAAGAGGTTGAATAAGTCATCTGGATTGTGTTCCTCACCTTCTTTTTCTTTGATGATGATGATGATGATGATGGAGGAGGAGGAGGAGAAGAAAAAAACAAGAAGAACAAGGAGGAGGAGGAGGAGGAGAAGGAGAAGAAGAAGAAGAAGAAGAAGAAGAAGAAGAAGAAGAAGAAGAAGAAGAAGAAGAAGAAGAAGAAGAAGAAGAAGAAGAAGAAGAAGAAGAAGAAGAAGAAGAAGAAGAAGAAGAAGAGGGGAGGGGGAGTGGAGGAGGAGGAAGAAGAAGGTGGTCTCATGCGTTGAACATACTATCTATATTTACTTTTGAAGGTAATTCTACACACACCATTGATGACTATCAATAACCACCAGCAAGTATTCCATCATTTTAGAGGCAGAAACTGCACTAAATCTGACAACAAGACTGATCTATCTTTTCTTTCTTGGGAAAAAAAGAAGAAAAAGAAGACAATTCCCACCTTTACCATATATGTATGTATGTATATATATGTATATATATGTATATGTCTGTGTGTGTATGTATATGTATGTGTATATATATATATATATATATTTCTTAAGTTTTCGCGGGTACTTACATGTATGGCATTCAGCTTTGTTCAGGTATTTTCCCACATCATTGTAGTTGTGCTTTTAAAGTTGTAGCAACGTTTCAGCAGAATCTCATCTGCCATCATCGGGCTTCTACAGGCTTCTCTCTCTCTATATATATATATTGTGTATATCAATTTGCCCCTTCTACTTTGCCTCATTTGCCTATCCATGATTACTTCTGTCTTCTCCCAAAAATGTTAGGCATGATCTCCAAGCATCAAAGCAGATGCTCACCCCTGTTGCAAAACATTTCCACGCTCATCCATCTTGACAACAGAAAACCACTTCCTTCTAGCCCAGCTCTGATCGTTGCATCTTCATATCTGCTCAGTTCAATCTTAAGTCATCTGAGTTCACAACTGCTTTTATTTTTTCCCAAAAGAGACCCTTGCCTTCTTTGCATTCATAATATGAAAAGGGAAGGTGTCGTGCCTCCACGGTGCAGTAATGGCCGCTCTTAAGCAAATGGATCAGTAAACAGGATAATGAAATGTGACATTAACTTCCTTTGTAATATGCACAATGAAACCCAATTAGGGCAATATCAAAGACACTGTATGCATCATAGAAGTGACTTTTAAAAGATCCCCATGTTGAAAAGAAAGTTCTCCATGCAAACGATGTACCTGTGGCTTGTTTTCTCTAGCAACTCCTCCATAAGGGATAAACCACCTTCAATAAAAGAGAATGTTTGTAGCACAGGGTTGAAAGGTGAGACCCTTGGTTTGGTTGTTTTTCTTGCAGATGTTTCATTACCCAGGTCTGCTGGATACAGGACAGGCACAGACTTCAGAGGATAATTAGGACTGCAGAAAAAACAGTTACTACCAACCTTCCTTCCATGGAGGACCTGTATACTGGATGAGTCAAAAAGAGGGCTGTGAAAATATTTACAGACCCCTCACATCCCGGACATAAACTGTTTCAACTCCTTCCCTCAAAACGATGCTATGGAGCACTGCACACCAGAACAATTAGACACAAGGACAGTTTTTTTCCCCGAAAGCCATCACTCTGCTAAACAAACAATTCCCTCAACACTATTCAACTATTTACAATGTGTACACTACTATTTCTGTTAATCTTCTCATCACTCCCTATCACCCATCCCCTCCCACTTGACTGTTTCCTAGTATGATTTGATTGTTGATTGTACCCTATGACTATCATTAAGTGTTGCACATTATGATTCTTGATTCTTAATGAATGTATCTTTTCTTTTATGTACACTGAGAGCATTTGCACCAGGACAAATTCCTTGTGTGTCCAATCACACTTGGCCAATAAAGTATTCTATTCTATTCTATTCTATTCTATTCTATTCTATTCTACTCTATTCTATTCTATTCTATTCTATTCTATTCTATTCTATTCCATTCCATTCCATTCCATTCCATTCCATTCTATTCTATCCTATCAACCAAGTAAATTGGGTTCCTTCTGCATCTCTATAAAGCTTTAGTGAGACCATATCTAGAGTACTGCATCCAGTTTTGGTCACCACACTATAAAAAGATGTTGAGACTCTAGAAAGAATGCAGAGAAGAGCAATCAGGATGATTAAGTGCATGTTGTGATTCCAGAGACGGCGCTTTAAAAATGTCTCTGTAGAAATTTCTAGGGGAACCTATTTTGATACAGAACCATTTTTAATTCCTAAATTTAGGAATTCCTAAATACTAATACTAAATAAATGAATATTATGAATGGTGGATGACTTAAATGCAGATTGATGCCTTTGGTCTCTTCGGAGAGAGTCCGCCGTTCAACAGTGAATTTTCAGCAGAAGTGAATGGCGATTTTTGTACTTGGGAGAAACCCATTAAACTGTCTGGAACGGGGCCAAGAAATGCACGCAGGGTCTTTATCTGAGATATATGAGGAAAAGCTGCTCCTTCAGTGGAGAAGGAACTGCGATCTGTGTCTGCTCAGCAAAGCACTTCATCCTCCCGTCACATATTTCAGCAGAAGATGATATTAATAATTTTATAGACCTGCACGAAGCACAGTCAAGTTACCTTGATGAAATGTGACATAATTTCCATTGGAGTGGCGATTGGTATCACTTTGTTTGCAACTCTTGCTTGCAAAACTTAAGAGGGTCTTCTGGATTGTTTAATCTCTTAGCTCTCCTGTCCTTCTCCTTTCCTTCTTTGCTCTCCTTTGCTCTTTTTTCCTCTCCTCTCCTCTCCTTCTTTCTTCTCCTCTCCTTCTTTCCTCTCTTCTTCTCCTTTCCTTCTTTCCTCTCCTTTCCTCACTTCTCCCCTCCCTTCCTATTTTGTTGTATTGGGTAATATTGAAATGTGGATATGGATCTCACTTTGTGAGTCACAATGTTCCAGAGAGTGGACACAACAGCAACGAGAAGTCCATGACTGACAGGGTCTGCAGCATGCCCATACTCCCAGCATTGGTGGAGTCCCACTGAGGTGAGATGGTTCCTCGGATGCCTCTTCATGATCCAGGCTTCAAGCTCTTCTGGAAGATCAAAGTGCAAATGTCCTTCTCACTATGGGAGTCACAATATTCCAGGGCACCATGGCAAAGAAGACCCTTTTCCTTTGCCAGCCAGAATTCCTTGACTGACCATAAAGTAATGGAGTTAGGAGGATTGGGCCTAGAAGAGCTTCACAGAGTAGGAGACTGCATCTAGGTCCCATTTAGCCAAGAAGATCCAATGTTGACACAAAAGCTTAAACAAATTGTCACACTTTTCTGCTCTCAACAAGTGTGTGAAACCTTCGTTTTCTCTTCTCAAGTCAAGGAACCTTCAGATGGAGAATGCAGAAGAGACCCTTTGTCTGCAATGAACTTCCCTGACTCAAAATAAAGTTGCACTTCTGCAATGATTTATCCAGAATGGACTTTTCCATTAGCATGAAGCCGTAACACAAGATAACAACTTCGCAAACAATAAGATGTTTAGTGCTGAATCAATATATTGATTGTGCACCGTCAAGCCAGTGTCAACTCTTAGCGACCACATAGATGGATTTTTCTCCACGACTATCTACCCCTGAAGTTGTCTCATCTCAAGAATTGTCTGCCACTGAATGTTGTGGCCTCCAGAAGTCAGTTGAGCTGGTGGTAGACTCGGACAGTGAAGAGGTTGGGGAAGAACATGGGTCAGTCCTGGAGTCTGGGGAAAGTTCTGATGAGTGCTCTGCATTGAAGGAAGAGATGAGGCCAGGGCTGTCCGACAGTTGTCAGCTGCCTTCAGAGTCAGAGATCAGTCAGAAGAACATTTGGAGCCTGTTCCCAATGTGCGCATTTGCAGAGATTCCGGGAGAAGGGAACAGTTAAGGAACAAGGATCAACTTGGAAGTAAAGGCACAGGTGGATAGGGAATAAAGAGTGGAAAGGGAATGGTGTTTGCAGGAGACAATTAGTTCGTTTAATTAGTGGGAAGATTTGTTCGTGACTCTCAGAGACTCCTTGCCAAGCATTTCCTTGTTTTATTTATTTTTATTTTATTTATTTATTTTCAATTGTTTACAAGATAATAGGTATAAGTAAAAACATAGTTATGAATACATGGATACATATAAGAAAAAAAGAAAGAAACAATAGGACAGGGATGGTAGGCACATTTATGCACGCCCCCTACAGACCTCTTAGGAAAGAGGTGAGGCCAATAGTAGACAATCTAAGGTTAAAGTTTTGGGGGTTTGGGGAAGAAACCACAGAGTCAGGCAGAGTATTCCAGACATTGACCACTCTGTTGCTGAAGTCGTACAGCATTGTGCTTGGAAGCTATCGGCCTGGCAGCTCTCCAAGCCTGATAAGGTCTGTGGTTGTAAATCACTCTTGAAAGGCTGTTTGCCAGGACTTTGCTGGATGTGAATGATAGGAATTGACATTAGCCTAACAAAAAAGGGCTTTGTCGGAACAAGGAATCTGCTTCGTGATTTTGTGAAGTCTAGATCAGAACACTGAAAGCACACTGCTAGAATTACATTTAGTCTTTCTAACAGTACAAGACTTTTAGTTAATCTCTCAATAAAGAGATAGTTTCTCCTCTATGTTGAAACAGAAGAGAATGGAGGAAAACACCTGAAGTCATAAATATAAAACCAAGGTGCAAAATTGCATTTTCTTACACCTTCCTTTGAATATTCAGAAGCAAATCTTCTTCAGTGCACTCTGGCACTCTTTCTTCACTATCTTTCTTTTGTTAAACAGCTCAATATGAATCACCCTTAAGGTGTTTCTGAATGGATGATCAATAGAATAATTTTCCCCATAAAACCCCGAGTTTGAAATCAGATTTTAAGTACATTAGGGTTTTGATTTTTTTTTTTTTAAGAACCAAGTAAGGGAATGTCATAATACATTGTCATCAAATATGAAAGAAATACTGCTCGGATAAATTGTTGCATTTATTTATGAGTCTATAAAAATATACTGTGAATGTGACTTGGCACATTTTTTTGGGCATCGCCAGGTTGAACTTTGTGGAAAAGTTAAAAGCCTTTAAAGACAATTGTCACTTGATTTATTGTCTGGGTGTTTTTAATTGTAATTGCAAGGAGACACAGGTATGGAAGAGGGTCTCCTCTAATGGCTACATTCTTATGAGGTTTTTCTCTTCCATTAAAAATGATATATATACATATGAGATCTTCTTACCCGTCTCCACCCTTCACTCTATGGATTTGTCAAATTTTACTGTAGATTAGAGCTGCTTGGATGTGGCAACAGAATTGGTCTCAGAATCCCAAGAATAGAAGGTTATAACAGTACCCCAGGAACTGTCCATGTAACATATATGTTGGCTGAAAAAAAGGGAGGAAACAACAATAACAATAAAGGATATTTATGGAAAGAAACACTGATAATCAAGCTTAGAATAGAATCCTTGAGGTCAAAAGAAGGGATTTAGAGACATTCCCTTCATCAAGATCATCATCCAATCACCATCATCTTCAAGATCTGCATTAGAATTTACTACTAAATTTCATGGGGTTCCATACGACTGGTCTTCTCACTTCTAAAATAGTATTAAAGCTATTGTGAACACCATTTTGTTTGATGGATCTTTCATCCATCCGTCCATCCATCTCTCTATCTCTCTATCCATCCATCCATCCATCTATCCATCCATCCCTCTCCATCCATCCCATCCACCTCTCCACCCACCCACCCACCCATCTATCCATCTATCATCCATTTATCCCTCTCCTTCCATCCATCCATCCTCATCCATCCATCCATCCATCCATCCATCCATCCCTGTTTTCCCATTTCTTTATCCCTCTATCTATGTCTTTATCTCTCAGACCTTCTGTGCCTTTCTACTACAGGTAACAAAGGCAAGCTGGCTTTTGAGAGACTGTGCAGAGTTACCAATATAACAAACAAACAGATCATTATAACTCCATTGAGTGATTGCTCTTAAAATAAGTCAGCAACAATCACAGCTGTTCCACAACTAAGCCTGCCTGTACTCCAGTTTGTCAAAAAAAATAACGTTCATTTGAGTTTCATTCAACTAGATTGAATGTGACTGATCAGTATAAATTATGTATTAAGTCTGTCCAAATATACTTGTTTATTCATGCATCGACCAGAAGCATCTTCTCTTCCTTCATCCAGCAATATAGGCTCAAATGGGAAGCCCAGGCACTGAATAATATTATAAATATAATACCCAATCTCCCACAAAATTTGCCAATAGTATAATGCCAATTATTAATAATATTGTCACATTATTATTACTACCTATAGTTCACCTATTGTTTTATTCACCCTACTGTTAAGGAACTTGGACTTAAAACTCATGCTGGTTGACCCAGATTTATTGAAAAATAAAGAGTCTTTGCTTTTTGACATATGCATATCAAACCTTAGTCATCTTTACAATTCAGTGTTAAATTATCCTGTTCAAATCAACAGTGATTCCACCCTCAGTTCATATGGTTTAAAAACATCCCAAAATAACTTCCCCCTTCCCCAGGAAAGCAAGACTGGAATACAAAAAACGGCTTAATGATGGGTTCATGCCATGATTTACAAGATTTCATAATATTTAACCAATCATTTTCTCAGCCTGCAGAAGAAAAATTATGTTTCACCAGCACGAGAACAACTAAGCTACAAAAAAGAAAACGTGATTTTTGAAACCTCTCAGAAATATATCAGGTAGTTAGTTGGTGAGGAGAGTTAAAAGTTGTGACAGATTTAGGAACCCGCTGCAAAAAATGCAATGGATAATTTAAAGTGATCAAATAGTACCAAACTCATTTACCTGTAAGTGTGTGTTATGTGTCATCCACATACACATAGATTACAGCAAAGATAAAAATTGCCAAAGGGTAGTAAAATAATTTAATTGCAATGCCTGACAAAATTACTCTCAGCTGCCAGATATCTTACAGGCAATTAATCCTTTTTTCCTTTACTTTTTAATGAATGAACGTAGTGATTTACATTATCGAAATCACAAAAATTGATTTTTCCCCCCCTTCACCCACAACTGTAGAACACAGTTTCAGGATACTGATTTGCTTGTAAAGATCAGAGCCAGGAAGATAAAGATATATTGAATTTACCAAAAAAAGACATCAAAATAAAGATCTCACATGCAGAACCTGTCAAAAATGCAACTCCTATATTTTATGTTAGAAGAGAATAGCAAACAATGTAAACACATAGATACATACTTTAGGCAACAATATATCTGTTTTCTCCCACGGTGTGTGCATCGCAACACAAACATACAAGGCACAACATACAGGAAATCCATTCTCAAATTCTGAACATGTACGTAGAGCCAAATAATTAAAAGAAACAAGTCATTTTATTCCCTTATAATTGATGCAATTTATCTAGGAATTTATGCAGTTGAATAAGTGGCCACAATCTCACCAAAGGATCTTCTTAACGAGAGTTTGTATACCTTACCTGTTGTGGAGATGAATTAATTGGAAGTTTAGACATTGAAGGAGAGCTAGGGTAGCCAAAATTCAGAAGTGTGTAAATGTCTAATGGAGACTCTCAGTCATCCCAGATCATGGTTGTCCCAAAGGTGCTTTTTCAAGAGGCAACTGGACTTTCTGGTTTTACTTTGAAGACTCTCAGCACTGAAGAAGCTTCTTGAGAAGAGAAACTTCTTCAAAGAAAAACCAGAAAGTCCACTTGAAAAAGCACCTTTGGGTCAGAAGTCTGTCTGTGGCACCATTCCCGAAATCTGTAACTGGTTGGAAAAGATGCTATCAAACTCATCCTTTGTTCTTAAGGAGTTTAGATGTCCTCTGACTGATACAATGAGCAAGAGATGGAACTGGGGCTAAAGCTGGCCAACAGAAGATAGCTAGCATGGAATTCTGGGAGTTGAAGTCTACAGGTCATAAAGGTGCCCTAGACCAGGGGTCTCCAACCTTGGCTACTTTAAGCCTGGAGGACTTCAACTCCCAGAATTCCACAGCCAGCTGGGGGAATTCTGGGAGTTGAAGTCCTCCAGGCTTAAATTGGCCAAGGTTGGAGACCCCTTATCTAGACCAAAGTTAAGGTATATCTAGGTGCCCGAGCAATAACTCCCAGCATTTTTCACTACTAACCTTTCTGCCAGAGGCCATCTGGGAGTTGTAGTCCAGTAATCTCTCTCATTAGAATAATTAAGGGCAAAAGAAGAAGAAGGGGACGACAGAGAATGAGATGGCTGGATGGAGTCACTGAAGCAGTCGGCGTGAGCTTAAATGGACTCCAGAAGATGGTAGAGGACAGGAAGGCCTGAGGAACATGGTCCATGGGGTTGTAATGGGTCGGACACAACTTCACAACTAACAACAACAAATCTCTCTCTAAACCCACTAGTTGCCCTAAAAACTAACACTTCCTTTTATCAATGTTATGGTTGCTGTTGGAATGAGGCAGCCTTCTCTGGACGGAGCCCTCCAAATGCAATGAATGCTTTTCCGCACATTGCTTCCAAGCAGAACAAAGCGAATTGGGGTTGACCACACCTGGGGAGTGCTTGAAAATAGAAAAGCTCAAAAATTAGGTGGTGGTGTGGGGCATTTGCCTTTAGAAAGGATGACTGTTCTGCGGCCTAATCTCTTTCGATAGAGAAGCACAAGGGGAGAATCAAGGAAGCGCTCCAGGGAGATTCCATGAACCCACTAGAACAAGGAGAGGAAGCGGGTTATAAAAGTTTGCAATGAAATTTTAGTGAGGGAGAAATTTTAACCTGACAAGGCAGATGGTACCACATTCCCTACTGTAACAGGTTGACAGGTTGTTTAATCCTCTTTGCTGGGAGAAGGGGAGGGGAGAAGGGAGAATCTCCCATTTGCACTCTGGGTCTTTGATCAGGTTTTCCTCTCCACGCGCAGCTTTCTAGCGCCACCCCTAGAGGATGCGGAGAACTACATCTGATCCTTTCCTTTCCTTTCCTTTCCTTTCCTTTCCTTCCTTGATTTATCTGACCATCCATCTTGCAAATGCAACACTAGATGGAGTTTGAAAGCTTTCTTTCTTTCTTTCTTTCTTTCTTTCTTTCTTTCTTTCTTTCTTTCTTTCTTTCTTTCATTCTTTCTTTTCCTTCCTTCCTTCCTTCCTTCCTTCCTTCCTTCCTTCCTTCCTTCCTTCCTTCCTCTCTTTCTCTTTCTTTTTCTCTCTCTTTTTCTCCTCTCTCTCTTTTCTCCCTTTTCTCTTTCTTTTCACTCTTTCCATTTCTCTCTCTCTCTCTCTCTCTCCCCCAAGCTACAGGAATGAGATCCAATGTATTTATTTGCTTTCCTGCTTGCTTATTTAGGCGATCCAAGCCGCCGTTGCTGCCGAAAGAGCGGTGGAATAGAAGAGAACGATCTCCGACTCAAAGTCTGCCGTGTAAACCCTCCTTGGGAGATTCTGGGGGGCACGGGGGTGGGATGGTGGGGGGCACAGCCCGGTTTCAAGAGCCCAGTTCACAGCCCTGGCGGGGGTGGGGGGAGAGAAGACACTCGGATGACCGAGACTCTTCCCCCACTCCACACCCGGGACGCCCAACCCGAATTGGAAAAGAGTCAGAAAGCTGAAGAAAGACGCGTGGGAAGGATTGGTCGTGGGGACCGACGGCGCGCCTGTTTTTTTTTTTTTTTATCCCGCGTTCAGCCCTGCAGCGTTTCAGGGGGGAAATCGGCAGAATTAAGGCCTTTTGGGTTGGCTTTATAGGCGCACACACCGACCCACTGCTCCGGAGTCACTTCGGTTTCTTTTAATAGCTCTCGGAGTCAGGAAACGATGGCCCCCTCGGAATGGCTCGGGAAGTTGGCTTGGCATTTTCCCGAGCGTCTTTCCGCGGGAGAAGTTCAACTGATCATCCGCCCTCTGGGCCAGGGGTCTCCAACCTAGGCAGCTTTAAGCCTGGAGGACTTCATCTCCCAGAATTCCCCAGCCAGCCAGCTGGCTGGGGAATTCTGGGAGTTGAAGTCCTCCAGGCTTAAAGCTGCCAAGGTTGGAGACCCCTGCTCTGGGTATCTCAACTTCGGATTCCCGCTGCAGCGCTTCGATCCCCCGCCGATCGTACCCAGGCCAAATTCGAAGGGGCTCTGTCCCTTGGAGGCCGAGTCACCCCTCCAGGCCTGGGCCGGCCCAGAAGGAAACCTCCCCCCCCCCTCCTCTGCCTTCGGGGACAGTTCGGAACCTTCTCAGATCAGATCCGGACCAATTTCGGATTTCTGCCATCGAATCGATCGTGTTGAAGGTGAAGAATGAAAACGAGGAGGGGGCGCCCACAAGCAGTGGGCAGATTTCAAAGACGAGGATTTAACTCTTGAGACTGGATATTTTGCAGTTGACTTGAGTTCTAACCAAGAACCACAAACCACCAAGATATCACCCTTGCGTGTAGAGATAAGGCATACACGTGTCTCTGTAATCCGTAACCAAACCTGTGTGATGTGTAAGATAGATTTAATAGATCCCCACCTCCATGAGCTTACACCAACTGTGGCCAGCCGTAAATCTTGGGCGATCCCATAAAAGACCAGTTCCGATCAGTTTCAATTTTGTAAATCTGATCAGTAACACCAAGCACTCATAATATTTCTCAATAATATTGATTGCAAAGCAATCATTGTTTGATCTCCAGATAGAGTCCAGGCAAGGTAGAAGCATATTAGTTGGGATTAAGCTTGGATGGCATCTTCAAGACCCTACTATTCTCAGTTGGTCATATAAAGGGTTTCGTAACCCAACACACTCTGAGTTGATCGGAGCGTGTGTGGTTCGCAGTTCAATCCTATGCCAGCCCTGAAGGAGAACACGAAAACGTGGGACTTAAAATCCAGGTGTCCTGGGCCGCAAAGTCAGCAATGTCCCTTCTGCCACCGTCCTTGGTAGCACTTTTGAATACCCAAAGGTGCCTGTCACCCCAAACTTTTGGGGTGATCTCCATTGTCTGGATCTACCTTTGAGATGCAGGAAGAAAACATCAAGATGATACAGGTGTCATTCCACTTTCGGAGTCCCTTTAGATCGGGAGTATCCAACCTTGACAACTTTTAAGACCTGTGGGACTTCAACTCCCAGAATTCCCCAGCCAGGCATGCTGGCAATAGAGCAGAAACACGGCTGATGGTCGAGGCGCTCCGTGGATTGGGATCTTGTGTCTCTAGAGGGTTGGGGGTAGGGCTGTAGGGTAAAACTCTCCCCAGGATCTAGAAGAGATCCAAAGCTCCTGAAAAGAGCCGAAGGGGACACGCGCGGCTCTTCCCGTGGAAAACTGGGAAGAGCCGCCTGCATCCTCTTGAATTCCACCGAGGTCTTTGGGGGCTGTTTAAGCTTGTTGCGGAGACCCTCGCAATTGTGGCTGGTAAACCTGGTCCAGCGAGTCGGGGGAACGCAGCCAATTGTGATTTATTCATTTTGCTTCACTAGCTTATTTTTCTTTCTTTTTTTCTTTTTTTACCACTTGCTGGTTCTTCGGGTCAGATTTGAGCCACTGCTTCTGTAGAAGGAAGAAAGGAAGGGAGAGGGAGAGGGAGAGAGAGGGAGGGATGGAGGGAGGGAGGGAGTTAGGGTGGGTGGAAGGGAGGAGGGAAGGAAGGAAGGGGAGGGAAGAAGGGAGGCGGAATGGAGGGAGCAAGGAAGGAAGAAAGATAGGGTGAGTGGAAGGGAGGAAGGGAGGAGGAATGGAGAGAGGGATGAAGGGAGGGAAGAAGAAGGTGACGGGAAGGAAAGAAGGAAGGAGGCAGGAAGGAAAGAAGGGAAGGCGGGAGGAAGAAAGGAAAGGAGGAAGATAAGGAGGGAGGAATAGAATAAGAAAGGGGAGAAGGAAGGAAAGAAGACGGGAGGAAGAAAGGTAGAAAACCAAAAAGTTCCAAATACCCCGCTTGCCTCTAACTGCTGAATTGCTGCTTAACATTGCCCGGCTACCCTCGGTTGGAGACGCATAAATCTGGATTCTGTTCAGGTACAAACCAACTCCGTTCCCACGAGGGTTTCTTGGAGGGAAGGAAGGAGGGAGGGAGAAAGGAGGGGGAGCTTCATCCACCCACCCACCCACGCAGCCCCGGCGGCAAAGCAAACGAGAGCCCATCCGCGTGGGAGCCAGCTTAGCTCTCTGCCCCTCTCCTCCCTCCCTCCCTCCTCCCTCCCTCTTTCCTTTCTCCTTCAGTCCTTAAACTTGAAATATTCCGGGGCAAAATAAAAATAAGATTGGGGATTTTCTCCTGACGTCACGCGGCTCCCCCAGCTCCGTCTCGTCCAGCCAAACGGGTTGCGCTTTTCTCCTCCTGCGCCGGGCCAACGGACGGGTTGCCCCCACCCCCACCCCCGCCCGCCCCCCAGTTCGCTTCCCAGCAAACCCCCTGCATCGCCTCCCTCTCACCCTCCTCAAACTCTTTTGCCCCGCGCCGTGTGTGTGTGTGTGCGTGTGTGTGTGTAGCCGCCGCTTGCTTTATTTTATCCCCTTTCCCCTTCTCTCTTCCCACCCCTCAACCTCTCCTTCCTGCCTCCCCCACCTCTATTTCTGCATAGACGTAGCGAGGAGGGGGGGGGCAGAGGGGGGGGCCGGGGGAACACCTCGGGGGCCGGCTGGGAAGCCCCCTCCCCCCCTTCCCGCAGATGCCACCGACGCGCGGGTGGGGGAGGGGGAAGCCTGCAATAATCCGGAGCAGCGAAGTGTAGCGAAGGAGCGTAAATCTCTCTCTCTCTCTCTCTCTCCCCCCTCCCCATTAAGAGGCGCAGTGGATGGAACGAGGGTGGGGGGTGGGTGGGTGGAAAGGTGGGGCAGGAGGAGAAAAGGGAGGACCGGAGGATTTGGGGAAGGGGAAGGAAAGGGGAGAAATCCGGGAGTGTGGAGGTGGGCAACCCTCCTCCTCCTCCTCCTCCTCCCGCTCCTCCGTCTCACTCCGGGTCCAAACGCCAGGATTTGGTCACCCGCGCGCGCACACGCGCCTCCAACTCGGCCAGCCGCGATGTCTTTCCCCCAGTTTGGTTATTCCTACAGCGCTTCTTCGCAGGTGAGTCCGGCGCTTTGGCGGGGAGGGAAAGAGGGAGGGAGGGGGGATGTGGGGGGAACCGTCCCCTTCTTGGGCTACAGGTTCTAGAACCCAGCGTTTACCTTTTGAAGGGGAAGGGTCTTTTTTCTTTTTAAGGTCCATATTTTGCTTTTTTCGGTTAGCTACTCCGAGAGACTGCAAGGAAGAGGCTCCAGTCTCCTGATAACTCTCTTCCTTCCTTCCTTCCTTCCTTCCTTCCTTCCTTCCTTCCTTCCTTCCTTATAACTTAATCTTTCCTTCCCTCCCCCTTCCTTCCTTCCTTCCTTCCTTCCTTCCTCATAACTTACTTCTTCCTTCCCTCCCCCTTCCTTCCTTCCTCCCACCCTCCCTCATAACTTAATCCTTCCTTCCTTCCTTCCCTCCCTCTTTCTTCCTTCCTTCCTTCCTTCCTTCCTTCCTTCCTTCCTTCCCCATAACTTAATCCTTCCTTCCCTCCCCCTTCCTTCCTTCCTCCCTCCCTCTCTCCCTCCCTCATAACTTAATCCTTCCTTCTCCCCCCCTTTCTTTCTTCCTTCCTTCCCCATAACTCAATTCTTCCTTCCTTCCCTCCCACTTCCTTCCTTCCTTCCTTCCTTCCTTCCTTCCTTCCTTCCTTCCTTCCTTCCTTCCTTCCTTCCTTCCTTCAAACTTCATCCTTCCTTCCTTCCTTCCCCATAACTTAATCCTTCATTTCCGGACCATGGATCAGAGACCGAACTGGGGGGGACGGGGGTGTGGAGGAAGTGCGCCCCCGGACCCCAATGTCTCTTTATCCCGAAGGCTTTGGGACATGAGACTCCCTTCCCCTCCCCCCCTTTTTGTTCATTTCTCCTGCTCCGGTTCCGTTGCTTTCAATAGGACTGGGATCCACAGCCCTCTCTCCCCCGCCCCCCCCGCCGCTTCCCCACCCTTCCCCATCTCGGTGATTCCCTGTCCCGATGAAGGAAAAGCCGAGCTGCCCCATTTGGGAAACGGGGCTCAGGGAAAGGACGGGCTGTCGCCCCCTTTAAACCCCCTTATCAGCCGGAGAGCGAAACCGGACAGTGCCCAAAGAGATCAAGGATCGGTCACTTTCTCCCCTTCAGTTGGTTGGGAAAGGGGAAGTTTGGCGATTTTATGCAGGGCGTCGGAGGGACGAATTTAGAAATCAGGAAAAACCTTTCGCGAAGGGGGCGAACTGAGAAATTTGGCCGGAAAGATGAGAGCAGGTTGCGTGACTTTAGGAACGAGTTTTCCGGCTCGCCCCGGAGTCACTCCGGATCTGAAACCGGAGTCCTTCGGGGATCAGCGGAGGTCTCTCGCCAGTCTAGATTAACAGGACCTTTCCCGGGGCGCGGGGGGGGGGGGGGGGGGGGAACAGGACTCTATTCCGGGGTAACTGGCCAGAATCTGAGAGCCTGGTGGATTTCTTAAGAGAGCGAGATTCCCAAAGAATATAATAACGCAAATAGGCAAATTTGCACAGCTGAGTCTACAGCAATTTCCCCCCTTTTTTCTTTTCTTTCTTTTCTTTTTCTTTTCTTCTTGGTTGATGCTGGTCTTTCCCCCTTTTTTCTTCCTTTCTAATCCCTTTCTACACCCTTCTGCCATTTGAAGCAACCTTCCTCTCTCTTCCACCCAGCCTTACTCTGCCTGGTTCCCAGAAGTTCCTCCGCGGAGTAAACCTACCGGTTTCCCCCCCCCCTCCCTCTCCCCGAGTTTGGCATGATAATTCGCGGAATGGGTGGGTGGGAGGGAGGGAGGGAGGGAGGGGGAGGGGTGGCGTCTTCGAAGTGTCTCCCTTCAGCTGGGCGAAGGCGGCAAGTCCGCCCGGGCGCTGGGAGCGCTGAGTAATTCAGGGCAGCGAGTAGGAATTCTTGGAATGAGGGGTTGGTGGGTCGACTTCGGGTTTACCCGGGTGTTTTTTTGTTTTTTTCCCCTCTCTCTCCCTCCTTCTTTTGCTGTTTTTGTTCCCACGCCCTTCGCAGGCTCTCGGGGCCAACTGGATCGCTCTGCGTTGATTTGGAAGGACGTTTTGTTTTGATTTGTTTTCCTGTGTCGGGGGTGAGGGTGATATCAGGGGTCCCAGCATCGAAGTCTTTGTAATTAATCCCAAACTTAATTCTTTCTTTCTTTCTTTCCTTCCTTCCTTCCTTCCTTCCTTCCTTCCTTCCTTCCTTCCTTCCTTCCTTCCTTCCTTCCTTCCTTCCTTTCTTTCTCTCTCTCTCTCTCCCCCTTCCTCCCTCCCTTCCTTCCTTTCCTTCCTTCTCTCTTGTTCTTTCTCTCGCTCCCATTCCTTCCTCCTTTCCCCCCCTCTCTCCCTTCTTTCTTATCTATCTTTCCTTTTTTCCCTCTTTTCCTTTCTCTCTCTTTCCGTCCCTCCCCCTCCCCCTTTCTTCCTTCCCTTCCTTCTTTCTCTCTTTCTCTCTCTCTTCTCCTCCCTCCCTCCCTTCTCTCCTTCCTTCCCTTCCTTCTTTTTCTCTTGCTTTCTCTCTCCTTACTTCTCTCTTGTGTTCTCTCTCTCCTTCCTTCCTCCTTCTCTCCCTCCCTCCCTTCTTTCTTGTCAATCTTTCCTTCTTTCCCTCTTTTCCTTTTCCTTTCTCCCCCTCCCTCGCCCTTCCTTGTCTCCTTCCTTCCTTCCCCCTTTCCTTCCCTTCCTTCTTTCTCTCTTTTCCTTTCTCTCTCTTTCCCTCCCTCCCCTCCTCCTTCCTTCTCTCCTTCCTTCCTTCCCTTCCTTCTTTCTCTCTTTCTCTCTCTCCTCTCCTCCCTCCCACCCTTCTCTCCTTCCTTCCTTTCCTTCCTTCTTTCTCTCTTGCTTTCTCTCTCCTTACTTCTCTCTTGTGTTCTCTCCCTCCCTCCCTTCTTTCTTGTCGATCTTTCCTTCTTTCCCTCTTTTCCTTTCTCTCTCTCTCCCTCTCCCCCGCCCCCCATTCTTTTTCTTTTTCTTCTTTTTCCTTCCTCTCTTTCTCATGCAGATTTTCGTCTCGGCCACGTCCAACGCCACTTGCTGTACCTCGGGTTCCCGAACCGCCTCCGACGTTTCCTCGGGCTCTTCCCAGACGGCGGCGACCCTCGGTTGCTCTTCTTACGAGAATCGGCTGCTGGCCGGATCCAGAACGGAGCTCAACGCGGCGCTGGGGATCTACGGCTCGCCCTACGCAGCCGCTGGGGCCAACGCGGGCTACGCCAACTACCTGCCTTACAACGCCGACCCCTCCGGCTTCTACACCGCGCTGGTGAGTGACCTTCCCGCTGCCAAAGAGTCGCTAGCGAGAAGAAGAAGAAAGGCGCTAGTCCCTGTTGACCGGGGAGGCGTCCAGTCGTGTGAGATCCCTTCAATCCAAGAGGTTAGAAAAGTTAGATTCCCACTTGGAAGATTCCCAAATGGGTGTTTACTTAAAAACAAGCCGTGTTTTAGTTTCCACCGCATTGATGTCTCGGGAGATTCGGGGCTGCCTTCTCTCGTGAAACGACTCAGCTCAGAGGCCAGGTATTATTTATGGGGAATCGAGAATTTGGAGGGCGGATCTTAAGAGAAGAGGTTTCACTGAAATCCGGAGGATCGCCTACAGAGTCCTGGCTGCCCCTTTGATAGCCCTTGATTCGGAAGTCACGTTCAACTTTCTCCCAGCCCAGTTTGGGACCTGGAGGTTCAGGGTGGATTTGCCTTCGTGGGGGGAGGGGGGGACCTTCTGGCAAATAAACAGGGATCAGATCTATTTACCCCGAGGGTGCTTCAGTCTCACCCCACATTTATCTTCAGGGAAATCTATTGAGTCCTGGAGGAGAAAAAAAAAGAGACCCCAAAGAATGGAAGGTGATATTGCAGATATCTAGGGAAGTTAAGGTGACCTGCTAGTTTTATTAATAACTGTGGATTGTAAGTGGCTTGGAGGCAGGGCCTATACAACAACAACAACTACTACTACTACTACTACTACTACTACTTCTTCTTCTTCTTCTTCTTCTTCTTCTTCTTCTTCTTCTTCTTCT